AAACTGTAATACTTCAAATGACGATCCAAAGTATTACAGTTTAATCTAAAATTTGCTATCTTATAATAATATGGGTCGTTTAGCAGCCGCTAAACGCACTAACATTGTCAAAGAATACTAAGAAAATAGAGATTTTGTAGCATCCGAATTTTTTGCGATAAGAGATCTCATTATTTGTGTAGGAATATGTTAAAAAACCAAATATATAATATTTGGTGCAGTGAAAATATGTAACAAACTTTCAAAAGATCTTTGCTTCCTGAAATGTCACTGTATGGTATGACACTAATTTGGGAGTATAATAGCCCAGTACTTTTTCTAAAAAAAAAAAAGCAAGTAACAACCCTTAATTCTGAACGCTTTTGGGTTTAAATTTATAATATGCTGGATGTGAAGCAACCTTCAATTCATGAGATCGGTGTACTCATAAAATGTTTTTGGATTCAAATTAAAGTTAAGTACGTGGAAGATATGTTACTCCAACAGAACGTTGCCAGAAATAATAAATCATATAATAAGTTCTCTTATGGGCTTTTTGGACATTTAATTTAATTGTCCGAATGGACTTTTTATAATATAGTCACTTATTTAAGAGATAATAATATTTTCCAACTCTCGACGCTTTGAAATATCTTGACGATGTTCCTTAAGTTATGGACATCAGTAAAAATTAACTCAAAAGAATCCAGTAATTTAAGGTGTCCTGTTAAGTATATTTAAAAGACGCTGTTTATCACATTTAATATTATAGTCCAAAATAACTGGATTAAAATTTTTTTTTGAAACCTTAGTCACAGGTGTGTCTTATTTACGTTAACTTTGGTAACCAGAAAATAGATAACCCTGCAGTAAGTTATTTTTTTTAACCTTACAGTACAAGGCTGTCAACACTCTTACTAATAACAATTATTTTTACAATTGACTGCTAAATTATATGCAGTACTTTATGTCAAACTTATACCAGTATACTGCAATAACTAAAAGTAAATCCTTTTGCTTCATTCAAACATGCAGTTAATGCACAACTTAACTCAAACGTTCTGACGTCTCAAACGCTTACTGTTTTTCACAATGGATAGTTTTTTAATACTTACTATATGCAATTTAAAGCGAATAAAGTCTCGTATGCTTCAGAGGCTGGTGAAATTATTACCCTTTTTTTTAAGTTACCGACAGTTGGAACATTATGGTCTATAGAGATAATTACAGGTTCACGACATGACTTTTCACTGGCGTTAATGTGCAATAGCTTCGATTATGGTGTGATATGTTATATAAAGCCTTAGATGAGCCGGTACCTTTATGCAGTGGTGTTTTAAATGTGACTCTATGATCGTCTAATGTTAACCCTCTGGATTATTTTCTATACGTATATGCATATAGTCATTCTTACTCGTATACTTATATAAACCAGAGTCATTAAATCAATTAACATTCACATAATAATTGTGGCAACACTGCTTCACCCGCGCAAAAATGTGAGTTTTAGATTACGTTTTGTCCAGCTAGTCAAGACTTACAGTCTTAGTCTATTGCAGTACTTTTTTTTTAAAGGGTATTTAGGATTTTATTAAAAGATTTAAAATCTAACATAACCAGAACGATTTTCAGAAGCTGACTCATTTTCTCAGAAATTGGACTTTCAAATTACGAATCATTTTACGTTGTTACGATCTTAGGCAATTATAAGATTTCTTTTTCGGGTATTATTAAGAGTTCAAAATGATTTTAAAAGCAGTGGGCTTTGTAACGTCAAAATAATAGACAAACAAGTATAAGTGGATGTTTAGAATCATAGCTATAGCTGCTATTAAACATAATTTGATTTTGTGACAATAGATATAAAATATATCTATTCATACATTAAAACAAAGGACATGATATATTTTTTATATAGATTTGAAAATCAAGAAATTTGACTCAATGTCTTGTTGAGTTCTAAATCAGTTTCCTACTGATCTTAGACTACAACTGTAGTTACAACAATCTGATATTTGTTATTGATTTATTGCCAGTTGAAACGCATAAATCCCTTCTTGTCTAAGTTTTTCAAATTTTAGGTTTGATGAACTTAGTTTGATAAATGTTGAGTTTATTATTTAATCTCCCTCTCTCTCTCCATCTCTCTATCTCTCTCTCTTCTGTGCCCTTGGTATGTTGAAGAGACCTTAGAAAATTTTCTCATAATTTGTTTATTAGAAGTAGTTTTGGTGGAACTTAGTCTGTGGCTTTTGTTGCTTTTCATATATTGAAAAAAGGATACTTTCTTCTTTTGGCAGAATAGAAAAAAAACAGGGGAAATCTAATACTATTATCATAGTGATAACTTATAAGCTACAATGCTTGCATTTGCTGATTATTGAATTTATCTTCAAATGGTTTTTTTGACTTGGTTCTTGGAGTGCTCTTGAAATATTATTTTTGCTAATATAGCTTTAAGTTATATAAGTTGTTAAATTCAATAATCAAAATTTTTCTGTAAAGCCTGAACTTATCTGAGAGTATTTCTTTTGATTTTTCTGCCATCTAAACATTTTTTTTGCTATTATTTTTTACATATTCACTTCAAAAGTACTTACGAGTACTAACTAATTCCCTGGGAAAATTTCTGGGTCAAAAGCACAATTACAAATTATCTAAAGAACGGAACCACTGACTTCATACCCCATACCCTATACGTAATATACAATGTACATTCTTTAAATCAATTAAAACGAAAATTGCAATCAAATTAATTGCGTTTATTATCATTTCTAGCTTACAATTACGAATCCATAAAATTCCCGATAAGGCCGAAGCGAATAGTCGTACATTCCTATATTCCTACGTGCACACAGCCCAAATCACGTTAGTAGAGAAGAAATTAACACAAATAGACCGCAATCACACCGTTGCTAACGGTATTGTTATCACTTTATAATTATCGTAATTACAAGCGCTCATCGCAGCGTACATTCACACTCTCATACGGCACGTGCGCCCGCAGCACACACAATACTTACTGACTTACATTCATACACTCGCTTGCAAGTAGGCGAAATGAAGTTTCATCTGAGGTTTCCTTAATTTTCACGTCGAAACATTTGCACAGTGGTGAACCCAAAAGTGAAGTAAACCCATCGACGACGTTTAAAATACTAAAACACGCGTTAGGCACCAAAACTCATTAAGGCCAACAAAATCGATTTAATAAAAGCAATGTTCTTTTTGGGTCTTGGGTGCTGCAAAGTGCTACCTTCCTTCAAGCACACACACAAATCTATATATGTACATACACACATACACACTCAAATAGACTCTTATGCCATATCATGAACGAATATTTGCCATACATAGATTCTATGGATAATGCGCCTAAAAGTCGACAAACAATTCTTGTACGAGTAATCTACTGGAATTGTTATTTTTTCTGGCGTATTCGGTTTTTATAGTTTCTTTTATGGTTTTTGTTCGATCATATCGAATTATGATAACCTCGGGCTTACAAGCCTATAAACATAGTCCTGATAAGAGTTTTGTAGAGCAAAGGATTCGTTTTTGATATAATTCAAGTTTCACATCTGAGGTATTTGGATAAATTTTACAAATTGACTAAAAACTTTTACACAAATTTATAACAAATCGTCAACAATTACTGTAAGTGGTTTGTTGTTGGTTAGTTCCCTAAGGACTTTTTTTTAGACTTTTATTTAATTAATTGGGAGCAGTTTTGTAGTTACAAATCAAAAAAAATGAAGTGTTTTAAGCATATAATTCAGTTTATTTTTCATTGTAGTTAAAGAAAAACTTTTCATGAAAATATACAACTAAAACTTTTTAACTAAAGCACCAACTATTCGAAAACAAAACACTGAAATGTTATTACTTCACACAAATGCGTATAATTTCATAGAGAAATATTAGCTTAATAACAGATTTAGATAGTTTCAGGGGCTTACTAGGTTAATTATTAATAATTTAAGTGGCAACTATTGTAATGATTGTAATGAGTTTTTGAATTTCTATGTATTCGTATAAAGTTTAGAATTCATTATATAAAAATAGTAATAAAAATTTACGTATCCCTACAATCAAAGATTAGTGCGAGCACTAGTTGGTATAACTAGATTAGATATTGATTTATGAAAGTCTCTAATTTTGACCAGATTTATCTAACGCCTACTGTCGTAGTTGCAGAGGGAAAAGAGGAAAGTAGCACCCATCGACTCTAAGCTCTCACTTTCTAAAATGGCTGTCCGATATCACTAGGCATAAATAACATTGTCTAATTAATTAAGGCTTTCTGTCCCAATTATGTGAGAATAAAAAAAAAACCAAAAAATTCAACAAAATGCACATGAAATACTTCTTTATAATACGATGTATTTCAAGAAGAGTTTTTGGATTGTAATATTGGTTTTCAAAGCGTTCTTTTCTTTAATATCTTTAACTGGAGTTATTTGTTTATAATATAGCAAATATTTACATGAAATCCAAAATAATATCATTCTTTGTGTAATCAATACAAAAATTACATATATTACGTACCACTAGATGGCGCAACAATTTATTTCTTGTGTAATCAATGTTTGCAACATTGAAACCTATACTAATATATAGATTATCTTTACAATATATATATAACTTTTTCCGTAGTGGGAAAAGTAGCTCAGAATTTTGAAACTGCACAAAATCTGTTGCCAAATCGTGTATTTTACAAAGTCAAAGTCTTCTCCTTTGACTTTTCAATTTGTAGTTCTTTATATTTTAATTAAGTTGATTTTAGTAGGTTTTAATACTTAGTGAACTTATATGGAAACTTATATGGGTCGGAAACCATTCATAGCGTATTATTTAAAATTGATATATGAATATAAATTTTTCTATTACTGCTTGAAATCTTCCTCTTATTCCCAGCATTCACTATATTTTGAAAACAATGCTTTTGGTAGGTGCTACTACGCAATAATTAATAATAATATATAATATATAATCAATAATATATAATAATTATTACTTACTCTGCGCGTATTGTTATTTCGTTGCCTGTATTGACCGGAGTTTCGAGTTCACTGAGTAACATTGTTTGTAAACCACAAGAAAATTGGAATTGCAGCAGACCCTTTTGCAAGAACAACGCCATATAGTGACCGCCTTTGGTACCTTGAGCTGCAGCCAGCATAATCAAACCATTTGTTGCGCGTGTACGTACCTTAAGTTGCACATGCATTGGCAGTACAGCGTCCAGGGATTCATAATTCGGTATATCCTTGTGTATACGATGTGAAACGTAGGAATCACCAGAGAAAGCAGCATTTCTGATAATAATCGGCGATTCACAGAGTGCACCCTGACGATCGAAACGGCAAACACACTGCAAAAAAAAAGAAGAAAAAAACAAAATAAAAACTATCAAATTTCCAGTAATAAATCATAGACAAATTGCAACTTTAATTACTTCCAAACATAGTTTAATATTTTAATAAAATTTCCAATTCCAAACAAACTTTCCATAATACACTTACATACTGTAAGTGTATGGTATGTTATATATGTACATATGTCAGGTTGTTGAAATGTTATTGTATGGATGAACGTTTTTTATTTTGTGACCATATGCAGAGTACACGCTTGGGTCACTGTTTTAAAACAAGACAAAATGTTGGCAAAACAAACTAAAACTTTTCAACACATTCACACATACATATATAAAAAAATGTGTGTGTGTGTGTGTACAACAGCAACAAATGTGCATATTTAAAGTCGTAAACAGTACAATAAACTCACACATTCACGCTAATATGCACTTACTCTTATGCTGTCAGTATGAAATTCATGCTTACTTACTTGCATGCATACTCGGTTATACAAGCACACTTGCACTCACACATGCTAACCACATGGAAAAAATTGCTTAGTTGCACTTCATTTATTTGCTGCAAGGAGTATTTAGAAAATTTGTTGCACTTGTGCGCTAACGCAGAGCCACTTCAGTTATGCTTTCGCATTGCCCTTTTCGAACTCAGTTTCAGTTTCAGCTTTAGCTTCAGCTTCCTTTGCATCGTTCGGTCTTAACGAGCGGGCGCGGGCGACTAAGTATGGCTCCTTCTTCCTAGTTTATGGAGTGCAGTTATCGTAAAAGTTTCTCACAATTTTACTTGCTTTCTGTGTTAGTCCTTTCGGCTCCTTTTGGTTCATTTTGACTCCTTTCGGCTTCTTTCTTGCTCGTTGTGTTAACTAAAAACTTACAAAAGTTCAATCGTGTTGAAATTTAATGTAAGCAGCACATGACACTGAAGAAACAATAATTTAATTTAGTTTTTTTTCTCTTCATTTTATTTCCATATTTCGAAAAGTTGAAAATTTATTAACATGACTTTGAGTTTAATTTAATTTAATTTAATTTATTTTTTGTTCCTCACGTTCTTGTTTGCGGAAATTAAAAATAGTAAGAAATTATAAAAATGTTTAAATTTGCATTGCCAGCAAATTGAAATGATAATCCTTTCTATCAAAATCGCTTGGGGCTCTCAAGTGAAATATGAGAAAATATTAATATCTTAAATGTAATAAAATCATCAAAGTGGGGGTTCTGAGCTTTGAACACAATTTCGTCATTGTAGTGTTAAAATAAATAAGAGCCTTTGGGGAGGCTCTCTGTTCTTAATAAAAACAGCATTCATTCTAAGGTTCAATATATATGCAAACACTGAAATTTTGCTTTAATGTATTTGCGATGTTAAAGCATACATTTGGCATCTGAAAATATCCACAGATGCATTTAAATAGTCCTAAGATATGAGCTCAAAGTGCGTTAACTAAAACGCTGAATGATTTATCGTAAGTAATGTTGAGCCTTTTCCGTCTTAGTGCATCTGGGCACTTTTACTCTTTGATAGCTGGGGAGTTTCTGCAGAGTCCCACCTATCTCACTGACTAATTTGAGTATTCCTCATAATCTTCGTGATTATTCAATGACTGATCTAAGATCTGCGTACCGCCCCGTGCGGTTAGTGATTACTCTGAGATTAGATAGTGCTAAGTAGGGTAGGCTGTCGGTTTTCGCATATAGCTTCAGAACTCTGTCCCTTATGTATTTTTTGACCGGATCTATTTTAGGGTCTCTTTGATAGCACTTTGAAGAGCCTTCGAAGAGCGCAACTTTGAGCAACTTGTAGCTTCTGGTAGTAGAGTAAAGCAGCTTTGCTATACGCAACACACCCATAAAGTAGTGCTTGTCTAATTATCTGGCTGTAGATCAGCTTTCTCTTCTTCGCGCTTTATGTTATTGTGTTTGAAACGTGGAGTATTGCAGTTTAAGTATATACATTTTGATAAGAACCTTTGAGGTTTTTGCTGGGTTTACACCTTACATCTTACAGCTTACACCGATACATTAAACTGGTTAATTCTCTTTTAAAGTTATTTAATAGTTTTAACGAAAAGTGTTAATCAGACGGATTAAACGAGTTTAAAGATCTGCCGATATATTTATATTTTAATTGTACATCTAGTTTGTTTAATCCAACACAGACTGCAGTTACTATAGAAAAGAGAGAGAAACTGCGTAGCTTGTACTTGGAAAGTGCCCGGTACTGATGCACAAGCGGAAGAAACACCTAGGAGGGTATTTCATAGATTATAAGGAATCAAGACTGGAAAAGATAGGCACTATACTGTCTTTCATTACAGAAATCAGAAGTATTATAAACCGAGTATATTTAAAAACCATATATTGGATGTGTCTAAAGAAGATTTGAAGAAATGCTTTGACAAATGATTCGAACGCATGCAAAAGTGTAATAATCATAAAGGAGAATACTTCGAGAAAAAATAAAGCAATTTTCAACGACAAGTTAGTATGTTTTTATAAATATAAATATAAATGATAACTCTCGTATATTTGTCAAAATGCCAAATTAATTTATTTCGTTTAACTGAACAAACGCGATGAGAATGTGTCGATCGGAACAGTATTTATAGAAACATGATATATTTTTATTATATTCGATATGTAAAGTGAAGACACCATTTGTCTTCCATAGCAGCAAGAGATTTGTTCACGATGTTTTGTTCACAGTTTTCTTCTCATCATCATCATCATAGAGGTGTTTAAGAATTCTAACAATAATTACTTATGGAAAAAATAAAAAAACGAACAGATTTATAAATAATGAATTTAGTCACTATTTTGCATTGACGACTACCTACTTTCACTTACTCGGTGGTTAATACAGTTAAATGACCAATTTCTTGACTTTTATATCACTTGTAATATTTCATGATTTAATGGTGGAGGCCCACATCTTTCATTTTACTTTGATTAGGTGAAATCTGTTTCCTTTTATAATTTCAGTTTTCCTGACCCTGATCATGGTGTTTATACATAACAAATATCCCGATGAGTTTCACAATGCTTTTCTTAACATCATCATCTTCGTTTTTTTGGGTTTCGATAAAATTAGATTTCTAAATATTTAGCCTATTTAGTTTTATTCAGTCATCCAATTCTCGTGAGCTATAACTCAAATCTTTATTATTTATTCCTAAGAGTTGGGTTTAACGGGTTAAAGTAAAGTGGGCATTTGCAATCACTGGCAAAAATCTGTAAATGGACGAAAGATAAACACAATGTTGCTATCAGTCTACTGAAATTGCGCTCTCAGCACTCTAATCTTCACCGTACTTAACTTAAAGCTTTACTATTTATTCTTAAGAGGTGGCTTTAGAGTCTTAAAACAACAAATTTGGTGGCTTGTATTGCTTCCATACATCAGCAAAAACTTTTAATTGCACGAAATATTACATGCAGTGTTGCCACAATTCTGAAAGTTATAGTGTGGAGTTGTTTGCAGTTAAAGTGGGTAATACCTTAGATTATTTTTATTTCTCACTGAAGAATATACTTCTAATACTTTCAAAAGTACAATGATTGTTAATACTGTTTGGTGACGAAGGACTAAGACCTAGAAGTAGAGCAGATTTTTAAGCCGGTTTTAACTTTTTTTTTCAGATGTTTGTTTGTCGTTCAGTGGCTTTTCTTAAATAAAATTGGGCATATGGAAGAGGTGATCTATTTTCTTTGATACTGTGACTGTACTCACATTTCATGAACAAAAAACATTTGAATGAAAAATTTATCTTATTTTCAATAAATTTTTCAATTGTTTATTTTTTTAAAAAATTTTTGAATATTTTAGTTATAAAGTTTTAAGTCGATTGCAATACTTAAGCTCTCCTAGACTTTATGTGACAAAGAAACAAAAAAAATAAGTCAGTTTCATTAAGAAGTATTGCATTGTTGCCAGCAGCTTTGATAGACAAAGATGTAATTATATAGAATAATATTTAAGATGCGTTTATAGGTCATGCGAAAAAGAGGATTACATAGTATTTCTTACTAAAAACATTGAATTGTTCTTTAACGCCAAGTCGCAGCGCTACAGTTGGTCTACCGTGTGCATTCAAAGAATATGATGCTTCTTATAAGCATAATGTACTTACTTTTGTGGCTTGCACAAGTAACACCACAGTGTAACAAAGGCTGATATAACAAAACAAAAACCAACAACACAACAACGAGAAGTACACCAACTATTATAACAACAACAACAAAGCAGTCGAACGAACGAATACAAAGCACAACAAAAACAAATAAATAAAAAACTTAGTTATATTATTACAACTTTTTTACTTATGAGTAATTTCCATGTAAACGAGTAGAGCGTGGTATAATACCCCTTTGCACTGTCCTCGCTAGCCCACTAAGAGCATTAAAATTTCAACACTAAAATAATATAAGAGCACCTTGTGCAACAGCATTATGCACAAGTGTATGCGCTAACAACTGAAACAACACACAAACAATGCACACTCCTCCTACAAACACACACACGCACACACACACGCAAAAGATTTGTAGTTCTTTCGGGAAAAATTTGTGCAACAATAGCGTAAAGAAGTACGCCTGCTTGCGTCTGCATTGTTGTTATTGTTAAATATTTTTTTTCTTGTGTGTTTTCGCTTCGTTATTTCATCTTTTCATTATATTCGAAATTTTTATTTATATGTACGTTAATATTTTTTTTTTTTTTTTGAGATTTTATTTTAATAGAGCACACTTTTAAATGCATTTATATTCTTCTCTCCTGTACTCTACAGTACTATTTTTAGAGCTATTCAAACTTTTGTAAAAATTTTGAGGGTCGGAACCTGTTGTTGCATTTCGGTTGTAACCTAAAATTATGCAATGTTATTTGTTCATGAAACACTTCTGGCGAATATGTTTTAAGTGCCGACATATTGTGGATTCTGTGGCAGATTTAAATTTAGGGAATTCCTACGCATAGGGAAATTTTAAAATATGTAAACGCT